TCTGTTCTCACAAACAGCCAAACCTGAGCAACCATGTCTAGTCCCAGAGAAAAAGTGGCAATCTTTATAAAGAGATAGGAAGTGCATGTATTCCTGCTGGCATAAATTTCTGTTAGGCAAAAGCAAGCAGCATTTGGAATGAAGCTTTTGGCAGTCCAACCCTAGCTAAATCATCTCAGAATGCAGTGCAGGTAGTGCAGTCTATATATGGTGGTTACTAAATTGAGCAGAGGTCCAAGTGCCCTTGAAATCAGAGCATCTTTAAAGAGCCTTCTGCTCATTTAGATTATTTTGCAGTACAGCTTAATCTTGCCTTGATTGGGAAGAAAGTTTCTTTACCGAGGATTATAAGTAAAATGGCATCAGATTGGTCAAAAACGAACCGCTATGACTGACAAGGTTTAGTTTGGCTTCTCCTATAATGTCATGTTTGTTTTGTAAAGGAGAGTAGGGCATGGTTGATCTGTTGATTGAAAAACGAAGGAGGTGGCTCTCCTTTTGGTGTCTATTCTGACAGGTTCTGGGCCAATAAACTATTTTGAATAAAAAGTCTGTCTTCCATCATCTTGCTGAATTTCTCCTCCAAGTTTGTCAGCTTTTCTTCAGTAGGACTCAGGCCAGTAAAATAAAATTTAAAGAAGGGAAATATTCTCCGCCCAATGCTATGCACGTCTACCCAGAAGTAAATCTCTTGAATTCACTTGATTCCCTTTCTATTAAATTTGCATAGGATCACAGGCGCCTTGACATTAAAGATGATTAGGTTCAATGTTAAGGTACCACAGACTTCTTTTGCCGTTGTTGCCTTTTATGGTAACTAGTTATTCCTAGTGGAATATAACCTTGCTAGGTCAAACTATTCTCTATCCCACAGATGGGACAGAAAAAAAGTCTGTGAAGAAAGTGTTTTCCTGAGTTAATTGGTTGGCTAAAATGATAATCATTCCTCTTTTCTCAAGGTTTAATTGTAGGTAGACAGTGATCAGAGAAATGTGGTCTCTCCATCTTCAGACACATTAACCACCCACTCCTCCCCCTCTTCCTTCCTCTCCTCTCTCTTTGCCTTCTTTCCCTCTTCCTTCCCTTTTCTAGAATGCTTCTGACCTAAACTCCCTTCCTAGAATAAGGCTTGCCTTGAGAGACCCACATTGAGCCTTTCTATAAATTATAACAGGATTAAATGTAGTTTTAGTCTACTATTAATCTGCTGCTTAACATGACTAAAAGGTTCCTGGTCTTCTTCAAGAGGCAATGAATGGATGGAGGAGATGGCATTTATATCATTTATTGTTTCCTGGAGAAATAAATGCTGTTATATTGAAGCTGGGAAGGCAGGGCCAATATTCTACTTTCTCAAGTACAGGTCATTTTTGACTTACCACCCACAACTGACCCTAAAATTTCTGCTGCTAAGTGAGACAGCTGTTCAGTGACTTTTGCCCCATTTGACAACCTTTCCTGTCACCCTTGTTAAGTGAACGAGCACAGTTGTTAAATGAGTGATGACATAGTTAAGTAAATCTGGCTTCCCCGTTGCTTGTCAGAAGGTTGCAATAGGGGATCACGTAACTCAAGGACACGGCAATTTCATAAGCATGAGTCAGTTGCCAAGGGTCTGGATTTTGATCCCAGGTTCATGGGGATCAGCAAATGTGAAAAATGGTCCCAAGTCACTATTTTTGGTGCGGTTGTAACTTCAATGAACTATTGTAAGTCAAGAACTACCTGTAACTTGATTTTTTTCCCCTCTGATGCCTCTTAGATTTGTCTGGAATACCCTTCTGAAGCCAGAGATCTTCCTACAAAGTTATCGCTCAGTCATTTGATTTTCAGTTGTCTCAGATGAAATTCTTTTAAAAGAATAGCCTATCTTGCTCCAGCCAGAGGCTTTTCAGGGAGGGGGTTCCAAGACAGGGTCTCCTTATAAATGTCAGGTCATGCATTCAAAGCAGGGTTCTTGGAGAAGCAGGTGGAACATGCTGCCAAGACAGATTTTCTGTTCTCAGGATGAGAACCACTGAACTCTTAAGGATCAGCATCATTCAGATTAGGAATGGATTGCAAAACTGTGGTTGACCACATCAACACAATGACCAGATTTGCCCACCATCCATGCCTTATCACAGAGTTTTTCAATTCTGGAAACTTCAAGGTGTGTGGACTTCAACTCTCACAATTCCTTGACTAATGGATTCTGGGAGTTGAAGTTCACCTTTCATAAAGTTGCTAAGGTTAAGGAATACTGGCTTAGCAGGAGATATAGAGAGATATAGACCCAACCACTCTGCTTGGGTGAAGTGCTTCAAGTGCTCTTTCTTATTTCAAACTTAGTTCTCCCATGAAGAAATTTGGAGGATGGGCTGGGATGGCAAGGAAGAATCCGAAGGCATTCCAGGACTCATCCAGGATCAGCTTCAGCTGTGCTATAGAGTAATTATTATTAAACAGTAAGAAGCTACAAGGGGTGGGAGTTCTGTACCTCTTAATCACATATTTATTAGTACCCCATTGAACATACTGTTGGATTTACAAGGAAACAAGGTTGCAAACCAAAACAAGTTTAATGAGTACCACACTACATATTTCAGAAATATGCATAGGATACTCATATCTGTTTCCTCATATTAGTCTTTGCCAACCTGGTGCCCTGCAGATGCATTGGGAATTCATGATGTGTGTGTGTGTGTGTGTGTGTGTGTGTGTGTGTGTGTTTTATCCTATCCAGATAAAGAAACACAGCAAGACAAATCATAATGGAATTTTGTTTTTCTTTTTAATTTGATCTCTTCCTTTCTCAACAGATTTTTTTTTTTTTTTTTTACAAAATTCATGGCAACCGGCTTTTGCTAATGTTTTTTTTTTGTTTTTTTTTTGTAAAAATAACAATAGAACAGAAAGAGGAGGAAGGAAAGGACTTGCATGACACTCAGAAATCAAGAAATGTCAAGGATTCTAAAGCTTAATAAAACAACGCCAACAAATAATTGTAAAAACCAGGCACAACAATGAAGCCTGATAAGTTTTGCTCTAGCGCTCACCCGCTGTTTGGTGGGTTCGCAAATGAGATTAGGATCAGGATCGTTATAAACATGGATGAGTTCAACACTGGTATAATCCAATTGGCAGTGAATTAATCGTTTTCTCTGGGGAGCTGCGCTCCCTTTCAATCTCCACCCCAGGCGGCTTCTAAAGTGCTCGAGACAAACCCAGCCTACCAGCCAATATTCGGTTTGGAAGAAAGTTGTATAAATAACTTTTCCTTCCCGTTAACAGGGGAAAGGACTAAAGCCACACATTAAAAAAATTAAGAGCAATCAGCTTCCATCCGCTTGAATTACTTCTAGTCTGAATTTGGACTGTGACGCCTCCCACCTTTTCCTCCCCCCCCCCCCCAAGGAAAATGATTCTCCCTTTCATTGCCAGATGTCTTTTGGCTCTCTGGACCAGCGGGGTAGATGGAGGAAGAGCCGACCAACAGAAAGAAGCGCCAACTATCTTGGAAGGAGCTGCCCACTTGCCAAAGGGATTCCAGCCTGATCCACAACGAGTTGAAAAAAAAGAAATGTGGAAGGCTGAAGCCCCAGTGAGGCGTCTTTCCGGATGAACAGGTGAATAATCACAGCTTGGAGATCAGGGAGTTTTCCTCGAGAGTAAACAGAGAAATAAGAAACACAGACCAAGCTCCGGGCTGATAGTTTGAGCAAGCAGGGTCCAACCCATAGAAGTTGATATGGCCATAGGAAAATCAACAGACCATCAGTCAACTTGCAAGCCTTCTTAAATCTATTACCTCCATAGAGGCTGATCAGGGCTGTGACAGCTTCAAGTGGTTAAATATTAGGAAGAAGATGCAGTGGAATCAGTCACACCGATATCACGAGAGTTTTCCCCAACACAAGTGTTTATAATATGTATAGTACTGCAACTATAACTTGGATTGAGATCAATTAACTTTTGTTTTGGAATAAATTCCTTATTTGGAGGGGATCTTAACATGGTTTAAGCCCAAAGATCATGAATGTGTTGGTATGGAACAGAAAATTGGGAGATATCATGATTCTAAGACACCATAACTGAAAAAAAGAATATTTACAGCAGCAGTTAGTTACAAGTTTTATGTGGTATATATTGGAAGCAGGAAAATCCGAGTTCTGGACCTATTTTAGGCTTAGAAGCCAACTAGTGACTTTGGGCAAGTCTCTATCTTTCCCCTGGGAAGCAGTGGCAAATACTTCTAGACAATCCCAGGGACTCCTCCCCAAGAGATATTCTCTCTCTCTCTTTCATCTCCCCCTCCTCTTCCCTCCTCCTGCTCTCTCCAAGGTCGTCATTCAAATACTATGTTCACACAACCTCCGAAACTATGTTTGTTAAAATACCAAACAAATCGTGGCTTCAGACACATGGCACACTAGACCGTGTTGTGCAGACTTAGTGTGTGTTGGTTTTAGTCGGTTGAAGAACTACTCTTAGTAGGAAGTCCATTGTTTGGGAACTTACTGTACTTTCAAGAAAGTCTGGCCATAGCTATGAACTTTCTTTAAAAAAAAAAGTTCTTAATTTTGACTGGATCTCTGGAGCCTCCATCCCCACTGTCTCTGATGATATGTAAACGAATTGATTCTAGCAGGAGAGTTCATAACAGATTTAGCAATAAAACAAAACAGAATAATAGATGATTTTCGATTCAACGTCTAAAATTCTAAAAGCAATATATATTTATTTCTAGACGGAGAAGCCGCACCGGGAGCGAACGGAGTCTCGCCCAGCAAATCCCTCAAACTGCGTCGTTCGTAGTCTCCCTCCCTTTTTTAAAAAAAAAGCTGATGGGGCTGATCTACCTTTGGCCATGCTCTTGCTGCCCTCTAAATGCCAGGCACTCTTTTGAACATCCCGTCTACCAGCCATCCCCCGTGCCCCAGCGGGTCCATCTAAGCGTAGATCCGGAGAGCAGCCGAAACCGCACGCTTGGTCCTTCCGTGCAAAGGCGCGCGCGCGCCTTAGCTGGCCTCATCCGAGTCGCTGTAATGCGATCGAGGCGAGAACTCCCCGTCGCTGCGGTGGGCTGGAGGCGAGTTTTTTCTTCGCTCTGGGGGCTGCTGGCCAGGCGGCTGGAGAAGCTGGCCCGGCGAGGGGGCTTTTTGCCCCAGGAGGGCGCCGTCCGTGAAGGAAGGGAAATGCAGCGGGTCTGGCTGCAAGGCGTAGCCCCCTCCTGTCCCCGCAGGCGATTCTAGAGAAAAACGCGTCCTGCCGTGGCCCGCAACCTGGGCCCGGGGCTGCAGCGCTCCTCCTCCTGGAGGGGTGCAAGGCGAGCGCTCGTAAGCCTGGGCGGCGGGCGGAAGGGAAGGGCCCTTTCCGCAGGGGGCGCCCTCGGGAGGCAGCGGGCTGTGCAGGAGCTCGGCTAAGGCGCTGATGTAGATCTGAGCCATCTGCAGCGTCTCGTACTTGGAGAGTTTCTTGTCGTTGTTAAAGGAAGGGATGACGTTGCGCAGCTGGTCGAAAGCGTGGTTCAGCCCGTGCATCCGGCGCCGCTCGCGAGCGTTGGCAGCCAGACGCCTCTGCCGCTGCACGCCGTTCGGCTGGGAGCCCGGGCGGAGAAGAGCGCCGCCTCCGACGGCGGAGCAGGGCGAGCGGAGCCGCGGCGGGGGCGGCAACTGCGCCTTACAAGGGCCGCTCCCAGGCTGCGGATGGCGGTGGTGGCGGGGCTGCTGCGATTGCTGAAGCGCGCACAGCTGCTTCCCGGAGGAACTGCTCGAACTCGGTCCGCCCGCGCGCGCGGGGCCACCGGCCCTCAGGAGCTCCTCTTCCTCCTCTTCGTCTTCCTCCTCCTCCTCCTCTTCTGCCTCCTCTTCATCTCCCTCAGGTGTACCCGAAAGCAGATACCTGGGGGATGAGGAGAGGCGGCCCGGGCAGCAAATGCCCAACCAGGGAGAAGGGAAGGCGCCGCCACGACTTGCCGCCGCCTCTTCTCCCAAGAGGAGGTGGCCTTCCAGCTGCTGCGGCGGCGGGACCAAATCCCTGCCGCTGCCGGCCCAGGTATTGGGCGCACTCGGTGCGCGCAGGTGGCTCATCGTGACCGGAGGTGGGGGGCGGGCGTGTCGGCGACCAGAGGCGCAAAGAAGTGGCGCTCCTGACACTTCTTTCCCGCGCGCCCTTTCACGACCCCCGTCTCCTCCTCCTCCTCCTCCTTCCTCCTCCGCGAAGAGCCGTTTCTTCCCCGGCGGGCGCCTTTAACAAAGCCGGAAATCTCACAGGACATATAAGTGTCTACCCAGAGGCACACGGCCCGCACACTACCAGGCGTCTCCGGTTGCGAAGGGCGCTGCGCCCCTTTAAAAAGCGGCACGCGCCAGGGTCCCCCACCCTTGCCACCTCCTCCACACATAGACACACACACACACCTCCTGGGCGCCCCACCCTCCGTCTCCCACCCACCTCGCGCCAGTCGCGTGTCGACTCAGCCATTGGAGCCCGCGAGGCCTTGGCGCGTGCTAACAACCAATGGGCAAAGCAGTCAAGCTTGGGAGTTTGGGCTTTCGTTCATTTTTCCTTCCTCCCCCCCCCCCCTCCTTTGGCCCGCGTTGGAACTGGGGGCGGGAAAGCAAAGGGGAGGGAAGGAAGGGGGAAGAAAGAAGAGCCAAGTTGACACAAAGGGTGTAGAAGTTTCTCTCTCAGAAAGAATTGCTCCGCTATTAGGTTAGTTAGGGAGGCCGTTTCCGAGCGGGCTTGGCGACACGAGTCACTTTCGTGTGTGAATGTGCACGGGAAGGGAGTGTCGGGTGGAGAGAGGGGCAGCTGGCTTCCTACACTTGCATGAGTTCGTGAGGTAAAAACAAAAAAATATGTCGGGCGGTGACAAGGACGCGCGAAGGCGCGTGTTTAGAAATGCCAACAACGTGCGCGCGTAAATCTCCAGCAACGGGATTTGGCCTCAGGGGCGCTGAGCGGGTGATAATCGCTTTCTAATAGCTCTGAACTAAATTGGCCTCAAAAGCCACCTTTCTCCGCGGCTTCGGAAACAGAAGAAGACAGACAGGCGAGCCTGAGGCGTTTGCGCCTCGCTCCGGCGCGCACCGTGAGGAGGCTTGGCCAGTCCAAGCCCCTCATAGCAACTTTCTTTGGTTTTTGCTTTTGCTCTGTTCCGGAGGAGGCGGGATAGGGGTGGGAGGGAGATGCAAGCTGAGCACCAAGTGCTTTGGGGTGACTCCTGCCGAGGCATATGGGATAACTAGTCTCCGCTCGGCCACGCTGAAGAGAAGCGGGAAAAGCAGCGGCTGGACCCTCAGAGTGGCCGCAACGCCAGATGCACGCGACCGGCGCGCTCCCTTCTCGCCCTTTGAAGTGGGCAGCATTTGCTACGGAGCTCGCCTCGGGGATCTCAAAATTTGCTCGGCTGCCGCAACCACCCGAGGCAATCGGAGAAAGCGCTGTAACGCATCCCTGGGCTACTCTGCAAGCAAGCCGCGGAAGGCCGCTTTGGCGGATGCCTTGAGGTTGAATCCTATGGAAACAAGTCAAGAACCGAATGTCTATATGGAGATTCTCAGTCATCCAGGTCATGGTTGTCCCAAAGGTGCTTTTTTCAACAGGCAAATAGACTTGTTTGTTTTCCCTTGAAGACGTTTCGCTTCTCATCCAAGAAGCTTCTTCGGAGCTGAAGAAGCTTCTCATCCAAGAAGCTCTAGGAGCTGAAGAAGCTTCTTGGATGAGAAGCGAAACGTCTTCAAAGTAAAACTAGAAAGTCCAGTTGCCTCTTGGTCAAAAAAAAAAGCACCTTTGGGATAGTCAAGCACAGCTCTGCTGTTGAAGGGAATACAGTATCTTTCTCCCCGAACGGACCCAAGAAACCGAGAGAGTTCTGAGGTCCAGAATGACCATGGGAGCAAACAGAGGATGGAAACCTCCAAAGGAGTTGTGTGATGCCAGAAGCAATTGACCCTTTTGTCCCTCTTAAAAGGTCCTTGCAGGTGACTGGAGGCACAGTAAGCAAACAAAACATTACTTTTGGGCAGACATATAGTGTTTAACAGGCCACCCTCTTATTACTTTTAAAATAAAAAATCTGAATTAGAGCTGCTTAGACAAATACAGCTGGTCATTTTATTGCTTTTTATTATAATGCATTGCACTTTTCTACAAACCTA